AGATTCTTGTATTTAGTACGTATAAAAGACTATTCGGTTGACTTTGTCCAACTTTGGAAATATTCGAATAAGTGTGGAAGCGTAAAGGGATTGTCAATAATTCAACCCCCACACACTACGTATAACATTCAGTTATAGAAATTGATACAATATAATCGTATCCAGATCAAGCTCTGAGCACTAAATTAGCGAGATAGAGAAGAAACAGTATTTTCTGCACACTTTTTTACCTATGCACATGCAAATGAGTTTGTTGAAGTAGTGAAAAACCTTAACTGTTTCTCAAGCAGTTTGTTAAAGCAATAGTAATAAGTGTCAATAGTTTTAATGCTTTTATATTTCTTTTAATTACAGTTTTTATTCTCAAGTAATTGAATGACTGCACTATTGTAATTTATAATTCGAAAGATAATGTAAATAATAAAATATGTTTACTTTTTTAAGTTCAAATGTAGTATGTAATAAAACAACTAGAACGAATGACCGTTACTTATACGAAGCACTGTGCAATCAGATAATCTGACAATTTCAGATGACCAAGGGTGCTGTAGTAAAAGGATGAAGAAAACGATATGGATGTCACAGTTGACAAGAACTTGTATTAGATTAAGAGCTGAGGCTTCAGAATGGTTAAATAATTTCAGCCGCAACTCTCATAGAAATTCGCCAACCTTATAGTTCTTTTTTCATTTTGATAAAGAGTTTCGTTGGTATTTAAGAAGTTCCATTTGGTCAACACTATACACTATATACCAACCGCAACCTAAACTAATGGATAGAGAATAAAAAATTGTCACAGAAAGGTGTTATTTGCGCCAAGCAGAGAATTTGTTAACTACCCGAAATGGGTGATTTCCTACCCTTTAATAAATCTGAAAATTGACACGACTTCAGTTTCTAATGAAAATTGTTTGTGATCCAAAAAAAAAAAATGATTAGCAAAGTTGCGGCAAGTAATGTTTTTGTGAGGATCGTCCATTTTTTGGAGGTTGATTTTCTGATAGTTAATTTATTCTAATCTAGACGCAAACGGCACTTTACTACGACAAATTTTTTTCTCTACCTGTAGGTTAAAGTTGTGAGTGGTACGTAGTATTGACCACATGGCACTTTTAAATACCAACACAACTCTTTGCTAAAATAAAATACGACAATAATAATTCGGATCTTTTCGAGTCACGAGGTTTTTTAATTTTTGTTAGAGTTGTGGCTGGTAATGATTTTCTTTAGTACCTGCATTTCCCACCTGAATAAAAGATGATTAAACTCTATGTCTTATTACTTCAGGAAAGCCATACGACATTAGATGTGGTTTTATACATGGCTTTATATGAGGGGCTTTGAATTGGTAATGCCGTATGTAATGCCATACGAAAAAATACACGGAATTACAAAAAAAAAAAAAAATTTGTCATCTAGAAATAACTGCAGGATACCGTAATGCGTTCTTTACAGTTAACGATAAAAGTGTTACCGTCCTGATAGTAACTCCAGAACAAGGGAGTTAAAGTACTATTTCAGGAATTGAAACAAAATTGAAAAATTGTTCTTTTTTGTATTCTAGAAAAATCACTCAAACCTCCTTGTTACGGACTTATCATCTTTAATGGTAACATTCAATGCTAGCAGTCAACTACGCATGACCGTTTTCTGCAGTTATTTCCAGACTTTAAATTTGTTTTTTTTTTTCTTTTTCCATTTGTGATTCCATGTGTTTGTCTATATGGAATTACATTTAGTTTTATCAATCTAAAACCCCTTTTGTAAAGCCATTTGTAAAACTACATGTAATGCCGTACGGCTTCCTTGAAGTAATTATATATATAGAATTCCGTCATTTTTCTTTCAGGTGGGTTTCCATGACAATAAATAATTTTTTTTTTTTAATCAGATTACAAATTTAAAATTCGAAATGTCCTTTAGAAGAAAATCTTTGATTTGGAAACAAATTATAATAATTTAGCCTATACTTTGAATATAAATCTGAGAAGATTATATAATTTTTTTGACATATTAACTTTAGTTAAATTCTTAAAGTACTTGAACTACACGGTCTATATGGCTACTTTAAAGAAAAAAATGTATAGTCTCTCTAGGTGTTAATATTTGTAAAGTAACATTGAATGTAAGCCTTGCGAGTATTGTTATCAATTTTTATATCAATAGAACCGCTTCAAATTAATTTTTTTCCAAACATAGCGAAAAGTTCTCTAAAAGGAATCTCTTAACGCACCTAAGTAATATCTCTTGGGTGGTATAAAAATCTACTAAATAAATAACTTTGGATTACAAGGAAGGTCAAATAAAAGTTTTATATACTATATTTTTATATCCTGAAAGCAATATAATTGTTTAGTTTGAACAATCTTACTTGCACGTGTGGACAAGTAATATAGTTGTTTAAATTAAAAAATCTCAGATTCCAATTTTTAGTCAAATCATAGAGAAACGAAAAAGCGTTAAAAATTTTGATCCATACTAGTCTTTATATAGTAGGGTGGTTGCGGAGAGACAGTGAACAGCGCGGGGTGGTGCTGCCAATCACTTTTTTTTTTTTAGAATTTTGGAACAACTAGCAGAGTTTCATGTGATTTTGTGGGACGATGATGGGTGGAGAGGGTTGGTGCTGGGCAACGAGTAGGCATAGACTCAGAAACAACCATATAATATAGGAAGATAGTTATAGTAACATATATAAAATACACGTACATTTATATGTACTCGCGTATGGCCATCCTGCACGCTTCGCGTAACGACCTTTCACTACTCTAACTTAAAGTAACAGTGTTTAAATCAAATTTATAATATTGTAACGTACATATTTTCTGTATTTTTCATACTGCATGAATCTTTTTTAGTCTTTATCAATAAATTAAATTTTGTTCAATTTTTATCAATAACTATGTTTTGAAATCTTTAATTTATTTTATCGGTTACTACCTCCATCGTATACCTATAATAAATAAGATCTTATGAAAAATAGATGCCAACTTCCCAACTGACTCTATCAGTCTTGCCTTTGTTATAATAATACGTATCAGTGCAAGTATTAGTCGTGTTCGTCTGTGGCTAGATCGCTAGCACGCAGGACTGATAAGTTTGAGCTAGCGGTTGACAGCGAAACGGTTCCCTCCTTTTCTCCTACTATCGCTTGTTTCTCTGTTTAATGCACTCCACGTTCTATAATAGAGGCACCAAGTATGAATTTTAATAGTAAATGAAACTTATTTGTCATGGAGAAAAGTACGTATGCATGTGTGGGTACAACATATTTTGCACACATACACACGTAAATAAATAATTCTGCTAAAAATGTAAAGCATAGTCTCTAGATTAGTGTTATGAAATTTATTAATTAAAAAACTTATTTTGTTAAAAATGTATTACTATCCATACTGCAGTTTAACTTTTATTTTTAATCCGTTGAATACATTTTTTTTTTCAATTTTTACATTGGTTATTACTGCGCACCAACTAAAATTAATTTTCCGTATCTGCCCAGATTGACCTCGAGAAAACTTCAGGTAATATCCTGTATTGATTGAAAATCTCTTCTATAAAAAAAATAATCACCACCAGGAGTATCCACTTAAAAACCAATTCCAGAATAACACTCTAAAAATTTTTTTAAGTCGATCTACGGATTCAATCGAACGCCTAACAAAACTAGCTGTACCTCAATTGACAAAAAATTGCGCCGTAGTCAACAAGCTATCACTGGTTTATATTAAGTATCTCTTAGAAGTAACCAAAAGAAATCCTACTAGCACGCGCGCGCGCACTGACACACACATTTACACAGACCGAATGTTAGAAAAATAACTTATTCTTTAACTTTGAATAAACATGTATCGCTTTGATTAGTTGAAAAAAAGTTCATAGCTTTCTTTTATGCTCAAAATATCAATAGGAAGTGATTTTTTATAAATATCAGTAACATTCAATAATACAGTAATACATTTTTGGTGACAGGTATGTTAACCGGTATAAAGTTTTTTGTTATTAGGATCCAAAGTAACTAATCCCTCTTGTTTTTATTAAAATTTAAAGATTGTTTTTTTTATTAAAGCCAAAAGAAGTAGATTAGTACCTAGTAACACTTGAAAAGTCGCTTAATCGGTACTGTTTTTAACTCAATACCAACAAGCTTTCTGAAATTTTGGCTTAAAAAAAGTGTTACTTTTGTGTTTTGTAACACTTGATGCTCCCATACTTATGTAACCGCATTTCTTTATGAAAATTGTATAAAATATGTAGTAAATTACAGGTCAAAGTTGGGAACTACCTATTACGTAGCGTAAGGAAACAAAAGTGAGACGGTGCGTAGTTGATTTGAACAGCTAATAATGTGTTCGCAAAGTGAGCGCCATACAAACAATAGAACTCAAGAACACAAATAATAAAACAATATGTTTGTATATCTATATACAATAGAACATTACACTCGCTTAGCGGAATGCACAAAAAATAACGTTAACTAAACATTCGCACCACCACATTTGTTTTCACTATACCACAAGTACTATAATAACATTATCATCTAACATATACTTTAGACTTTTTATCGGCAACATTAAGAAGCTTCTATAAGCGGTTTCAGTGATTTAGTGATTTACTGATATTCAAAGATGTTTAAAAAAGTAGTAAAGATTTATAAGAATTTGAACGGATTACTTCGTCAGTGTCCAAGAGACATGTTTCCCAAAACTGTTTCCCTGTAAGATATTCAATATAATTAGAGAAACATATTATTATGTTTGTTACTTGTCTTTTTCTTACGACACCCTCAAAATTTTGTTTACAAGTACGTTAGGGTAGGTATTGATGTTCAACGAAAATAAATGTTTGACTGTTTGCTGTGCTAAGCCTATAGTATTCCAACTTGATTATTTGCGTACCTACTTTTAATGGTAACTTTACTGCATTTTTCTATTTTTAAATATTTTTATGCTATAATAGTACTTGTATTGAAAATGTAATGGAAATGATTTTTTTTCCAGATGTCCAGAGAAATTACATCAAGAATATAGTCCAACATTAGGCTTATTTAATCCAAATGTATTAATGCGAAAGAGAAACTGTACCATCTTAAAAGAAGGTTTTTTATTCACAGATATTTTTAATAAGACTGTTGCTAATACTGGTATTGAGAATGTAATTTATAATAGCTATTTAGATGTCTTCAGAGATATAGCAATAATATAATATTTGTCTTATTTACTATTCCTTATTATAGATGGTGTAAAGGGTATAAACTAAGTTGTTATTATGAAAATAGTCTGTCGGAAATACTGCATTTGTAAATAAAAGAATGTGTCAAATTTGTTCCTACTATTTTTATTGTTTTAAGTAATCATTGTAATAAATGAAAAAGCTGCATTTATATCATACGTCGTTCTGAAATTTCAGAATTAAAGAGTCCTAGAGTGAAAAAAATGTTTTCATGCAACTTCCTTGATCATTTTTGTTCCACACAGATTTTTTTTCTTATTATTATTCTTCTTACTGCTGAGAGTATTTTTTTTTTCGTCGAATTTTCTTTTATTTTTAATGACTGTTGAAAAAATAAAATTTTTCGTAACGATGTTTTTCAACTTTGAGAAATACCTAAAATCAGTCAGATCTCATAATTTTATTAATTTATTTTAACTTGACTAAGCTTCTTATTTTAGTTTTTGATTTTTTAACACGTGTTATGACCAGACTTCAACTAATAAAAGTAAGCTAATAAAAATTTGTTGAATCTGTCAGAATAAAATCATTAACTATATAAAACAGAATTTATCAAGCCACCCTAACGGTTTAAGCATTAACTGCATTATTGATAACTAACTTACAAGGATCACTGTTCGATACTACTGCTTCAGAATTTTCTAATGCCTCGGGCTTCCCAGTCGTTCCTCAAACTACACGAGTTAATTGGTGGCCAAAGAGGAAGGTTGTTGTAGTCTGTAAAATACATCCGAGGCATCTCAGCCAATATGTTATGCCGATTTGTGAAATGTACTCGTAGAATGCGGGAGTTAATTTTGTTATACGGTATTATTAGTACGGTATTATTAGTCTCAGATGTAAAAAATACATTGGATTATCTACTTCTACTGGATATGTGAATTTTAAATTAATGTCATAGCTATTAATAATAAAACAAGATCAATGCTTTCTGCATTTAATTTCGTTTAATCCAGAATATTATTTAACGGATTTTTTGATGTAGCCAATTTAGAACTAAAGGTTGTGGAGTGTAGTCTAACGTTTCTATACAGGCTACGGGGCCAGTAGACAGTCTAACTATTTGTTTGTTTATAGGAAAGAAAAGAGAAAAATTTTATAAAATATGCTTGTTAACGTACCTTTCTTTTTTCTAGCAGCTTCAGGTGAACTGGCTATTTAGCTAATATTCAATTATTTACTATTATCAACTATTAGTTTAAATAACTCTAATAACTTTTTTCAGCTTGTTATGTATTCATTTGTTAAAAATAATGCGTTCACAAAAGAAAGAAGCAACGATAAGACACTCTTTCGCTAGTTACTTTAGAATTAGTAATTAAGTTCTGTACTCGATGAGTGGCAGCAGGCTACTAACTGAAATGCTGCGCAAAAAATACACCTTGCGTGAAGCTTTAGTCAAAATATCTTTGTCTTACGTACTAGGGGGCTGGTACTTGCTTACTTTATGTGTTTGGGCTTAGCGGTTCGTTTTGGTTATTAATTGACACTTCTGAGAGCCACGAAGTACAGAGTCAGGTGGCAACATTCGTTAATGATGACTTATTGAAGAATCTTAAAATTTTATCATGGAGAAAGAGAAAAATATGATATAAAATAGAATAATATAAAACAAAATAATAAATTTATCTGTTTATGCAAGTGGTCACTTAACAGCCTCCCTTTGTTAAAACTATTGCTGTCCTTGGCGAATATATACATGCGAACGCGCGGTGGCTCAGTCGGCTAGGTCGTGGATTGGCACGCGAAAGACCGTGGATCGATTCCCGGCCAGTGCGACTTTTCGGGCAAGTACCTCTGTGATTTTTCACATGTGCTTTTTCACTACGCAATGCTCCTCGAGAAGGGCTTAGGCGACCTCCTCGCAGTATAATTGCCTAATTTCCCCTTACCCCCCCTTCCATCCCTTTCCTTGTCTCTTTTCCAAGTGCTAAGTGCCCATAGTAGTGCCCTTATTAAAGGAGCCGGACGTAAAGCACTATAATATAAATATATATATATATGTATATAAGCAATCCGAGTTAAGGTAAGAAGTGGATCATGGTGAATCTAATACTTTAAAAATTACAAATATAGTTACGCTTTTTACCTTCACCTTCTTAAAATTNTTTGTTTTTTTTTTTTTTTTTCACACGGCGATGCAGCGGTGAAAATTCTGTATTCAAGTATTACTGAAAAAAAATGGAACGTAATATAATAAACTAAAGTAAGTTGTCAATATCCTACAAAATTATTACATTTATTTGAGAATGTGCTAAAGGGAAGGAAAATAGGACTTACTATGATTAATTATGGTTAATGTCTTTTCTTATCCCCTTGTTCCTTGGTTTTTTTTTTTTTTTTTTTTTTGTTAATGATCAATCTGCTTAGAGCATCAAGATTTGTTGTATTTGTTGTAACACCTATCTCAATGCATAGCTTGTAGTGTCAGTCGTGTTTTACTTGGCTGACATCCTTTTGGACTAATGGGCAAGACTTTTTTAGATTTATTTGTGTTTCGCCCAAAAGACTATATACATTTTAAGATCGCTTTTGTATATTAAGCTTCCACACGGTGAATGTATCATTAGTTCAAGATTTTTTTGACTACACTTATATGAACATTTTGCTCCATACGTTTTAAGTCCGTCAAGGGCTCTTGCTGCCGAACCTTCGTTACAATAAGTAAAAAAATTTAAATACGATTTTCGCCCATCATCGCGCACGGTATCTAGTAGATAGTTTAGATGGCTCAAAGGACCAAATGTCATTAACTACCGGGTGTACTCATCCAAATTTGTTAAAGCTAGCAGCTTAGATACTACTTACTGCTGAAGTGGGTCGCAATCTATAAGAGCATCATTTTTATAAGTGTTATTTTTGTTTTCTGTATTTTTTTTTTTTGGCTGCAGAGTTATACAATATACAATCGTGCGGCGTATATCTTTCGCCTAATCTGCAGTCTTACATGTTATGTAAATGTGAATAACATCTTTTTGTTTTTGTTGTGAAACAGAGAAGTAGATATCTTAAATCGCCTCATACTCGGTGTATGGTGCGATGCATGTTTGTTCTTTTAAAGATAGCATAGGATCAAATTTATTTAGGAGAATCTTTATTTGATATTTATTGATTGGCCCTTTGATCATTTTATCCATCTAACATCCATTCTTGAATGTATTATGAATCCTGGAAATTTCCTTGTTTATTAAGGACGTGGCTGCCGTTCATGCTGCTCAATTACTCAGGTTATCTGGTGGTCTAATTAGTGAGTAAAATAGTTCCTGTAGTGTTGGTGCTGATTGAAGCTGTTTGCTACAATTTCTGCCTCCTGCGGTGAACTCAACACTACTTTATAACAAGAGTAACTCGTAGTACAGGATTCCTGCTCTATGGACTGGACTACTCCGAAGCTTTTGAGGATTTTGTTTAGCGTGAGTCGGCTTTAACTTCCTTGTAATAGTATGCTAAGTCGGCGTTGTAATTAAAGAAGTCTTTTTCCCTTTTCTTTTATATCCCACGGTACAAGACACATAAGTCTTTTTGGATCAACGTTTGGTATATCATTGTCACTTTTCGACGATGTTGGTGAAGAAATCTTTTTTGCTTGACAAATAGTGAATCTCATCTTAATAGTGGAAAGTGTCTAAATTTCTTTTTCCACATTCAGTGTTTTATCAGGCCTCTTAATAAATAAATCACTAACGTGAATGGTGGTTGTAGTTCGATGTCCATTTCTTATATTCTCTAGTTGTTTAATAACTTAACGTCTTATTTAAAACATGGTCTACGTTTACTTAAGTCTTTATAGTTATTTACTGTCTCGGTTTATCATGAACCCTTGAAGAAAAATGGTATCAAAATTACTATTGATTTGGCCAGGAGGCACTCTATCTCGCCTGAAAATTCATAATGCGCATTCCTATTTATATCCCTTTATTTTTCTCTTTTACTGATATAATCCATAAAAAAACACTTTAAGGTCACCAAGTTGAAGTTTAAAGAGTCGGCGCGAAGGATGCAATGTGCGCTGTCAATTACGCGTAGGAAGCTAGATAAGATATGCGCAAGGACTATTGGCAAATAAGTATCATTGATTGTGCGCAAAGAGATAGCGCAGATTACGGCGGCGAAGACTGTGAGTCGACTATAACAGGCCCTGACGCGCAAGAAAACTTATTCTCTTCAGTAAGCCTAGGGCGCAGACACTCGCTGCCTACCCAGACCTGGAACTCTCCGGTGCACTGGTAATAACCACGACACACACGTAAGTCTACAAGTAGTGTATTACTAATACTAACTAGTGTCTACTTGGACTTTCGGTGCTTTATCACTTAAAGCGTGGTGACGATATATCCCCAAGTAGTCGAGGCACTAGGCATAGCGACGACGCTCCTCGGGCAAAGCACCTGTGTCGGTCACTTGAGCTGTGCTCAAGACACTCAAGAGCCCCGAGGACGACCTAGCCCTACGTGACTTCTTTAGGATGGGCATAGAGACTAGTACTTATAATTCGTAGATGTACTAATAATCTGATATAGTTTTACAAGGTGTGTGTAGGAATGTGTGTCAGTGCTGATAAGTTTTCAAACTAAAATCGTCGTGTACTTAAAAATCATTTAAAATTAGGGCAAGAAAGTTGTAATTACAACTAATATTACGGTTTATGTCTGAGTGCGAGTTTTAAAGCGTCTTTCAAATTCTTTTTAATGACAAATTCAATTATTTTGTTAGTTAAATTTGAGCAAAGAGCCCGAACAAATATAAATCATAAGAACACCAATTGCAAAAACAATTTTCTTATTAAAATAAAATTAAATAAATTTAAAAAATCAAGTGAACTTATTTATTCAGTCCTACCCCTTCACAGGTAATTGCGAATCCTAAGATTCTTTATGTTTGTTTGAAAATTTAAGAGTTAGTTAGTCCGATATTCTATTAAGTTGTTTACTCTGAAATTAAGAATTAAGTTTATTTAAAAAATTTTATCTTATCTTACCTAGCTTTAGTTAACAATTCGCTACGAAATTAATCTATACAATAAATTAAGTTTTTAGGTTTAACAATTTTATCTTTGC